GCCCACCCGCCGCTGCCGCCGTGCCGTGCCGCGCCGCGCCGCATCGGGGCAACTGAAATCAATCGCCAACAATTTGACGGCGGCCGCCAGACCCCGGGGCAGAGGCGCAGGCGGGGCCCCGCGCGGATGCGGCTCTTTGCGCAAGTTGGGCGCCCGCACGGTCGCGGGTGGCGGTGGGTGCCCGGCGGTGCCCGCCGAGTCAGGGGACAGGCACGGGCGGCTCGGAGGTCAGGAGCCCAGAGTCGGGGGAACCGGCCCCTGATGTGGCCACCGCCGGCTGCGGCCACACAGGCGGGAGCCTAGGACAGGCTCTGGAAGACCACCACCGCCCTCCCACCCCCAGCCCTAACCGCCCGTTCTCTCCGGGATAACATTTGGCCCAATTTTTGCGTTGATCTCGTCCGACCGAGGAAGGCAACAAAAACGTGCCGGAGAAGCCCGACGCTCCGGCACGAAGCGGACTGGCCGCTGCGCACTGCTGCCCTTTCCCCGGGCTGCCTCTCGGCAACGTGCTCGCGTTCACCGGGGGGCGAGGAGGGGAGCAGAGCCCGGCCGGGCTGCCCTGCTTCGAAAGCAAAACAAAACGAGGAGCATCCTGCCGGGCTGAACCTCTGCGTCCCTTCCCGCGGCCGGCGAACCCCGGTGCGGCTCTCGGCGGGGCCGGCCCCCGCCCGGGGCTCTACCCCGACAGCCCGCTCCCTCGGGCTCTGCCTTTCCTGGGCTAGGGCAGAGACGGAAGGAAATTTTGCAAAGCTACTGCGTAGGATTTAAGGGAGTTAATATTACGATATCATAGGCTGAAAGGGTCCCATGATTTAAAACATCCCCGAGGGACAGGTGCCGCGTAGTTCAAGGCTGCTGCTGTTTTTTCTTCCAAAACTCGGCTAAACTCGCGTTTAACAGAGAAAGGTAGAAAAGCTTTCGATGTTGCTTAGCTTTCCTGCGGATTGCACTGTCTCGGAGGGGGCGGGGGGGCAGGAAAACTGTGGCCACCCTGGGAAAGGGAGACCTTTTCAATTTTGTTCGAAATACGCCTCGGGGGGAGGCTTTCCCTAACGAACGAAGGATTCGTCCAGCTCTTTCCAGACTCGGGATTATTTTCAGCTCAGCTCGGGAGAGCGGCAGCCTGGCCTCGATCCCTGCCTCGCACCCCGCAGCCCCGGCCGAGCCAGGGGCCCGGCGGCAGTGGTAGGGGAGGCCGGGGCCGGGGCTGACCCCCCCCCCCGCCCCGGGAGCCCCGTACGGCAAGGCTTCCCGGAGACCTTCAGCGGCACTGCGGCCGTGCGAGGGTTTGAGGGAACCGCCTGTAACTCGGGGACTTGTTCATTCACTCCGTACGGTACGGTACGGACTGTAGTTCCCCCCCGCTTCCTCGCACCCCGCAAATTAAAGTTACTACTGCAGTCACCAGCCAGACTCAAACTCTTGGGACTCATTACTTGTCATTCCCTTAGCTTGCAACTCTCCCCTTCCTGGGGGTCAGGGAGGCAACTGTGGGATTGCCCCCCCCTCCCCCCCGCAAGCCGGCTCCATCGTTACTCCCCGCCCGGGACCTCTCCGGGGTCTGGCCGGGGAACATCGCTGTAAGAAGCTGCGGGATGTTTCAGTCATGTGTGGGACCGGAGATTTCTGAATGGGTCCCGCAACCCTTTAGATGTTATCTTAGAGATAACACTGCAGAAACAGCAGACTGATGAAACAGAAAGGAGCATGTTAGGTTCGTAAATCTACTAAAATAACCTCCAAACCACAAAAAGAATGTTGAAAGAAAATGTAGGTCTTTGAAGGGTTACAGATTATCTTGTTTTGTTGGGCTTTATTCAAATATACTCCTGGGGTTTATTCAAATAAGGAGTGTCTCTGACTAAAAAAGCTGTTCCAGAAGAGATCATTTTCTGCAGCCTAACTTACAGTGGAGTCACACTGTACTGAAGTATTTCATCCTTCACTTTCTGGCTGGGATTGAGCCCTTTCCTCTTTCGTCGGAGGTCAGCATATCGGAAAACAGCTCCCCGCTTCAACAAATTGCTTGGACTCGTGGTACTGAAACTGTTCAATGGAAGTACCCTGCTCAGTAGGGCCTAAGAGAGGAAAAGAAATTGGGAACCATAAAACATATTCTGTCAGGCTGTTGTACACCTATATGTGTATATATACATTTATGGAAATCCATATATCACCATTTATAGTCATAGATGTCTTTTATCCTTATAAATATGGATACAGATACACACCCTCCACACACCCCCACTGGGTCTATACAGACACCTTAAAAATTTTGGTTATCAGAATCACCTGCCATGCTGTTCCATCACCGTATTCTTTTCTTGAAGTCCTGCTGTCACCATGGCAGGACTGACACGTATTTTCTGAATGCTACGTTTGAATAGTTTTGTGAGGTAATTTTTTTCCTTGTCTGATTTTGGTTAAAAATATTCTGTCAATTTCTGGGTGTTGTCTTCAATTTGCTAGCATCTGATTCCCAAAGGGCTTCAATACTTTCACCTTTATGTCAAGTTTGTGCTGGGATTTTGTAGATTTTCTATTTTTCCAGTTATCCAGTCTCGCTTTTTTCCCCCTTCAACTACATACAGAGTATCTGGCTAGGCAAATGAAAGAGGATACTTTTAAATGCATCCGTGGGACTTCCACTTTTCCACCATCTTTCAACATTATTTTTAAAATCACTAAATCAGAGCTATTTCAGCTGTGGCCAGTCATATGTGAGTGCTTCCTTTTTTTTTTAAATCTAGCTGCCTTTCTTTTCAAGGCTGTTGACTGCTTACAGCCCCCAGAAAAATCAAGGAAGTATTAATATGCCTGTGTAAGGCTTGGCATTTCAGCTTGTCGCTTAACTTCAGGGGCTATTTTTATGAAGAAGCCAGCCACACCCTTTCAGTGCTCAGGTTGTTTCATCTGTCAGACACAGACAACAGCCATCTGTGTCACGGGAATGTTAGGAGACTAAATTAATTGAAAATGCTCTTTATTTTCTGACGAAAGGAAGTTCTGCTATAGCTGCACAGAGCATCAATCCCTTTTAGTTTATGCCGAGTGGGATTTTCAGTGTGCAGATATATACAAGTGAAGATAAAAGTGTAGCTTAAAATCTACTTTGAGGTTGTGAAAATCCGAACCGAAAAGGGTTAAAAAGTAGAGTCAACTGTTGTTGAAGCAGATATATATGGACTTTAAATAGAAGAAATCAATAGGTCTACGAAACCAAGGAACTGTTATCTTGAGTATTAACTGGAGATGGTGTCACATTAACAGCAATTTTACCCTTTGGTAATGAATTCAATTTAGCTGCCACTTTCTTAGCTATCAAAACCAATTTAAAGTCTGTATGTTGCCTTTTTAAACTGGCAGCATAGAGACATACACATTTTTAAAAAAATGGACATAAGTATACATAAGCCCCATAATAAGTATGGGGCTAATTTATAAAAATGAGAAAGTAAAGAATAGCCTTTTCTAGCCAAGGTATATGGAACAGAAAGAACAGATGAATCAGAAGCTGGAAGAAACAACGCAGCATTTGAAAAGAAAGTGGTATTCAAAGCAGCCTTATTGGTCACTTCCTTTCTCCTCCTTAAAAGAAAAATAACACCTAAAAAATCCTTATCTGTGATTTAAAATTGAAGGGAAAAGCAATGGTTAGTAAAAACCAGGCAAGGTCTGATCCTAGTCAGTAAAATATGGCAGTATAAGCACAGAGAAGGATAAACATATTCAGTGCTTGGAGGGAATTCTTGGCAATGGATAATTTTGCCAGGTAAGACCACAAAACAGCTTTTTGTCATTGGGCCTATGGTACCCTATTGGCTAAAGAAAGAAAAAGAAGCCCATTTGAGAAAGCATAAGCCTTTGTGAAGTGGATGCCTTTGTCATATTGACAAATATTTGGGAAACTTACAAGAAGGAAGATGGGAAAAGTGTTAAACTGGCTTTAGCTTCCAGGTGACTTTCCTTGCTCCAAATGGAATTGAAAAAACGTCAGGAAAGGAAAAGGCTGAAATTAGGATCACAAAGCTAACTGTAACTACGAGCAACATTTCATATTTTGTATTATTCATGCATAGGGATCTCCAAACAGCTCTTCTTAAATGCTTGCCTTTTCACCCTCCAACAAGTTTAATGAGGGATGCCTAGCACCTCTTCCCTGGTTTTAAAGCAAGATCACTTACTTGCTTATGGATTTGTGCCCATTGCCAGCCTGACAGCCATGCAATAGAGATGTGAGAACATAAGAGGAACCGTGACATGGGTGTGATAGCCACAGATCTGGTCAGTTTGATCCTATTTGTATTTACAGATCTATTACAGAGAGTTTTAAACAGCTAATTTGGGCTTGCTTGCCCTGCTTTATATCAGAAATGGCTATTGAAAGAGCCTGGATTCAACAGCACTGTTTAAATCGCAGCAATTAAAATTACTGGCTCAAATCCTGTGAAAAGATGTTCTGCTTTTTGTTCTAACACTTTAAAAAGTACAATTTCATCATGCGAAGGCCCTGATAAACTTCCTGCTGCTCAGGGCTTATGATGTCAGAGCCATGAAATATTTCCTGCTGATAACATAATAGCTGAGAAATATGAGTTT